GAATCATTAAGGGCTCACCCTCTTGTTGCGCATCGTGGCTTGAAGAAGACCATTCTTGCCATTGCAGTCGTCCAAAAAGTAGGGATTCTTAGAAAACTGAAAAAGAAAGATCAATGACATAATGCAGCACTTGCGACTACAACAAAAAGTCATCCCCTTTGTGATTCCCCTCCCCCTCCCTCTTCTCTCCTTCTCTTCTCCCTTTTCCTCAACCTATAAATAGAGATAACAAGCTGATTCATCATGAAACTAACAGAAAATTCATAGCGCATCTAAAGAACCCTGGCGTCCTGTTCTCCCTTCTTTTCCCTTTCCCTCTAGTTTAATAGTGGAAATTTCATGCAAATGAGTAAGAGTATGCAAAACGAATTGTTTGCTTGTTACTGTTTTTCTCCCATTTGAATACGTTTCCCATTTGTTACAAGTCCTTTGATTGCATTAGTGAGATTATCAATAGTCCCATGTCTACACCCCTTTTGGCTGATTTTCTCCTGAATCCTTCAAGAGAATTGAGAAAACCATGTGCTACATTGCTACTATCATCTTAGATTTAAATCATGTATTCAATTTTGCAGCGTTCGTGCATCGCGATACAGACGTGGTTTCATAAAAGAAGGGAAAAAAAGCAAGCTGCTTGTGGACACACCATTTCCACAACCTCTACTCCATGGGAAACATGGAATTACTGCTGAAAGTTCCAAAAAAGCTTACCGGCATGATGTTAAAGTAATCATTATGGCTAAGCGTCTCTAGGATAGCCTCTGTAGTTTGTTTTGCAATCTCATAACGTTGACCCAACATTGAACCCGACATATCTAACATGATCACTACGTTTTTCGAATTTGTCGCTGCGTTGATGTACCTGAAAATGCTGCGCTCAGGTTTTCGTCAGGTGCGTTTAATTTCTCCTGAACCTACCATTGCGTATTCCTGCAGTCGAATAAATCCAAATGCTCTACATGATTATCCCAGAACCATGATGCAGCTGTAAGAAAGTCAATATAACATTTTTTTTGCAAAAAATTATTTAGAAAGATCGTACCAGGGAAAAATCGCATATATCCGCTTTCCGAGCAAAATAATTGAAAGGCGAGATCTCGTGTCTCCTCACGATGTGTGCGATAAACCTCGTCAATCTCGGACCATTCGATTTTTCGTAACAGTTCTGGATCTAAAT